AGACTCTCCAGGCAACAAGAGGAGCTGGTAGAGATGCTAACAACACTGGAGGCCCTGGGAGAGGCCATGAGAGCCACCCAGTCACAAGGAGCTTTTCCACACCTGCCAGGCAGCTGAGAGCCAAGCCCTGCTGCTCCCTCCCCCATGAGGGGGCTGGGTCTTAGAGCAGCACTGTTCTCTCCCCTCCACTCAGGCCTCCCGAGCTGCCAGGCTCTGTTGCCACACTGACTCCATCTGAGCAGTCCTTGAGGTCACTGGATCCGGGGTGCCCCGCCCCTAGCCTAGAGTTCCTCCTCCTCCTCACTGTAACACCGCAGCCAGCTCCTCAATGGGCGGTGCCTCCAAATCTAAAGAATACGGAGGTCCTGAAGCACACCAAGAAATGGGGGGACTTTCTCTTCACAGAAAGTTTGAATTCTGTCTTAATGAGACAGAATACCATACTTGAGCACCTCATCTTTTGCTCAAATTGAAATGTCATCAAACTGTATTTCTCAAATCAATGATCTGTAAATATGATTTATGTATTAATCTCCTAAGTGAACAATTTATATTTTACCATCTACATAATTATTGTATTATGCTTTAAAAATATATTTAGTTTATCAATAAAGACATTCAGTACTCAATAGCAATTTTTTTTCTGGAGTTTTATTCCCAACAGTTCTAAGTCATAAGCTAAAGTACCAGTTTTTGGCCTGAGTATTTGTTGAAAATGTTATGCAAAGGGAGATTTATTTGGGGGATAAAGTGAAAGGAATGTTTAGAGAAAAGATTTTTTTTTTTTTTTTTTTTTTTTGGAGATGGAGTCTTGCTCTGTCGCCCAGGCTAGAGTGCAGTACCGTGATCTCGACTCACTGCAACCTCTGCCTCCTGGGTTCAAGCAATTCTCCTGCCTCAACCTCCTGAGTAGCTGGGATTACAGGTGCACACTGCCACATCCAGCTAATTTTTTGTATTTTAGTAGAGATGGGCTTTCACCATGTTGGCCAGGCTGGCCTTGAACTCCTGAGCTCAGGTAATCCACTTGCCTTGGCCTCCCAAAGTGCTAGGATTACAGGCGTGAGCCACCGCACCCAGCCAAGAGATTTTTTTTTTTAACTTTTATTTTAGGTTTGGGGGTACAGGTGAAGTTTTGTGACACAGGTAAACAGGTGACATGTGGGTTTGTTTCCTCACCAGGTATTAAGCCTAGCACCATATAGTTATTTTTTCTGCCCCTCTCCCTCCTCCCAGCCTCCCCCATCAAGTAGACCCCTAGAAATTGAAAGCCTTCTAATGGACTCCAAAGTTAAAAACAGTAACATCAGGTAACTTCTTCCAGTACAATTGCTGTGTAGGTGGAGAGATGGATTTCTGGTATTTCCTACTTCTCCATCTTCACAGAATCTTTATTTCATTCTTTTAAATAATTTCTGTCTCATTGTTGATGATGCATTTTGTTCGTATGTCATTTTCCCTATTTTTGTCAGTTCTTTGTGTTTTACTTTAGGTCTTAGAGCATATTTCAGATAATTGCTTTAATGTCTTCATCTAGTGAGTCCAATACTGAAAGCTAGTAGGAATTTACTTATTCTTTTGAAGGGATGATAGGTTTTTTTGTTTGTTTGTTTTTTGTTTTAAATGCTTTGTGGTATTCATTTGAAAACTGGGCATGTGAAAAAACAAACGCCTCTCCCAGTGTTTGAAGACTGGTGTAGAAGATCTTCACTAATTAGCAGACCCCTGAGTTTTGGGATCAGCTTGTCTTCGTGGGTATTTTCTGGGAATGTTTCCTGCTGGGGCCTTACTATGCCTTTTCCTCCCCAGTTTCTCTCATATAGATGACTGCTTAGATGTCTTAATTTTCCAGAGTCTCACCCCAGCTTCTTTTTAGGTCTCACATGTTCTATTATATCCTTCTGCCCATAATTTCTGTGCCTAGACATATATATATCTGCTTTCCCCCTGCAGTTTCCATGTGGCATGGTGCCTACCACTGCCTTTCACTGTTTCCACAGCTTAAGATCCACACTGAGCCCTGAGTCCAACAAGACAGAAACCAGTCCCTGTGGGAGACCACAAATAGGTATGAATGTGACAAATATTCTCTATTCTGCTTCTTCTGGTTTGAGGGAGAAGACTGGGAATTGGGCTGCTTACTCCTAACTGCCTCATACCTCATTGGTGGGGTAAGGGCAAGTGAAAATGCCATAAAATTTCCTATGTATATATTTAATGTTTCCATTAGGGAACAAGGGCTGAAGCTTCCTCGTCTTCCATCTTCTTTATGTCATTCCTCAAAACCAATGTAAACCTTGTAACTTTGTATAAAGTGTTTATTATCAAATACTACTAGTTTTCCCTTAAATCTTATCAATGGAAAGTACCTCTATAAATTCTTTGGCTTTATTTCTTGCTTCTAAGTAAGACTGTACATGATAATGATGCCTGTTAAATTAAAATCTTGGAAATCTTTGAGCAAGGGTATACAAGCATGACCCTAGGCTCTCTGAAACTTTTCTCTCTTCTTTCCAGACCTATTTGAAACCTTGTTTCTCCATACTAGTGATGCTAACTCAAAAGGTAACCAGATGCAAATAAGAGTTTACAACCCAGCTCATAATCCACATCCATTAATCAGTACCGTGCCCTATTTGGTGTTTTTCTCTGTATATCTTTTAACCCCTTTAATTTCTGCTTTGAACAACTCTCTGAACTTACACCTGTGTGGTGCATTCTTCCCTTGCCAGTAAGCAGTAAATTCAGTTTGTTTTAAAACTGCTGTTTGGCCACCCTTTTTATATTGCTTCTTACATGCCTCATATCTTCATAGCACTTTTACAATTACTCTCCAATTGATCTTATAACTGGTGGTTATAATGCTTTTTCCAAGACCTTTAAGGTCAATTATCCTTCCCCTAGGAGACAAATACAGTGTGTTCTGCCCACTTTGGAAATAGAAAACCGAATCTGGCAGTACAATGGTTAAATTATAAAATCCAGCATATAACCTCAAAACAGAAGCTGTTCTTCTGTCCACATCTAAAATTTAGGGCTTCTTATTCATCTTCTCATTTTGTTCTGCAAATGCTCTGTGGTTGATTAGTTTAAATTTACAGACAAGTTGCTAAAATAATTCAAAGACTTTCCACATGCCCATTACCTTGGAGCTCAATCCAGGTTTTCCATCTTGCTTATCTATACCTATTTCACACTCAAAACATGTAAAACCCTGCTCCCACTCTTCATCATACCTTTAACTTACTTATTCAACCTCAGTATATACATAAAGTATTTTCAGAATTGTTAACCTGGACTCCTACAAGAAACAAATTTAATGACTAGAGTTCAGTTTTTACATAGAGGGTTTTTGTTTTGAATATTACAGTTTCTCATGTGATTTCAATTTTGCAGTCAATACTATGTTGTTAAAACATTTGAGGATTATTCTTAATTAAGCAGAGTATTGATATAATATTAGGAATATGTTCTGTAATGGAATAGGATATAATATATCTCTATTCTGTCTCTTGAGTCTAAGTAGAACTTTCCTTAATGATCCCACTCAGCAACACCACTTTCAAATATACTATTTAATCTTCACAGCCATAGAGATCATTCTCATAAAGCATTTTCAATGGATCTGTTGAAAATAAACAGATAATGTTTTTGGTGCCAAGCATTGATGCAAAGGCTACACTTTTATTATCTCATTTAATCTCCTTTAAAATTTTTTAAAGTTTCATTCTAGCTTCATCACTGTGTATAACTTATACGATGGCAGAATTAACCTCAATGTTATGACCCATTTCTAACAGTGAGAGACTTCCTACAATTGAGAGAGTAAGATCTCTGTAACCAGATATATAATTAAGTAGAGGCTGAATGATCATCTTTCAAATATTAAGTTGTAAAAAGAATCCTACAGGAAGTAGAAAATTATACATCATATATGATGTGTTATAAAGCAAACTCTGAGCTCTAGAGTTGCTTAAAGAAATATACGGAACAGAGGTAGGTGAAATGGGATAAACTGTTATCCTTTACTTAAGTCTCAAATTAAAGCCTCTCATTTTTCAAGACTAACTTACTATTTTGATGGAGAATATATGTGTTTTTCTTTAAAATGTGTCTGTGTACTCCTGAGAGGTACCACGGATATGACAAAGAACTCATTTCGAATCTATCTCTGGGATCCACAACTACTGTCTATTATATATTGAGCTCCTCTAATAACATGTGAAAGAGTTAAACTATTAAACACAGAAATTGAAATACTTACTGGTTTTTTTTCACTGAAGCAGTAGCCTACCAATATAAGCAGGTTTTGAAATGGTGTGATAACCTTTGGATTCTGAATAAGATCTAATTAAATATATAATACTGTTCTTTCATTTTGTCGTACTCATTTGGGTTACCCAAGTAAGTAAGAAACCAAAATATTAATGCTATTTAGAAATATTAGAAGCTGATACAAATTCTAAAAATAAGACAAATTGTCACATAAAAAGAGGCATATGATTAGAGATGACGGTGACTATAATGAAAATTCATCAGTCTCGGGGCCAAAAGAGAAAATAAGACAATATGAAGATACTGGATTCCTAACATTTAACATTTATAAGAAATTTTTCGCATAATACTTTTCAATGTTCCTCTTAACTAGTGTTAGTGAAGTAATTATCATTTTAACTAGTATCAGTTAAACTTAATATTCATGAAAACATTCCCAAACAGCATAGTTGAGTTTATAAACAATATCTTTCATAGTTCACCTAAATCTAGTAAATTGCTTTGTAGCCTCACTAGGTTTAATAAATGTTACATAAATAAATACTTTGTTCTGATTTCTTCAATACATTTCTAGTTTTAATATGAAAAAAAGTAAAGCAAGATATTCTCTTTTTAAAATTAAATTCCTTTAACTGGAAGTGTAAGAAATGTATGGAGGTGACTTTTCTCTATTAGAGGATCATACAGAATAGACTTGCAAATAATATGACACTTAAAGAACCATACATTTTCAAAACATGCAGAGCACAAGTTTTGTTTAATTGATTTTACATCACACCAGAAAGCACTACAGGGACACTGGCGAATAGAAGCAAGCTGGAACCTCAACACAGAGCTCCTTTCTTACTCTCAGCAACAGAAAGGCTTGATCTTAGAAGTTCAAAATTGTTCCATATGGTAAAGAGACGTTCTGAAAATAAACCAACAAGTAATTGTAATTTTTTATGTAATTCAACTTTTAATATACACACATACAAACCTTTCTGAAATGTTCAGTCTTGTACATGTCTTGATGTTGAGGCATATTTTCCACTAATTGAAAGGCATTTTTCAAAATATTATCTAGAGCTCTTTTCAAAAGTCAATGATCTTTCAATGCTAAAATATTCTTTTTAGCTGAACATTGACAATGACTCCCTCCTTGTTCAAATTTTAGTTAGGCTTCTCTAAGCCCTCTTCTCAACTAGGCCTCATCCTTGGCCTTGGTCTTGGTCTGCCTTAAGCAAAAAATCCTCCTAAGTCAGTTTAGTGAGAATCTCCCATGCTTGATATCTAACCAAGTTTCTCATCCCTTGCCCTTAATGTCTAAGTCCTTAATATGCCTCTAAGAAGAATCTTGTTAGGCCAGTTAAGCGAGAATCCCTCTACACTGGATGTCTCCTCTTAATAATTTTCCATCTGCTGACCCCTTCACTCTGCTCTTTGTCTACAAATTCTTAGCTTTCTTTGTTGTGGAGTTGAGTCTCCCTCTTCTATTGCAATGGTCTTTAATAAAGTCTTCCTTACCATGTTTATCAAGTGTCAAAAATTTAACAACATTATGAGACTGGCTCTTATGGACTTTGTCCTTGTGATGGAGTATATGCTAGAGGTTAAACTCGTTGTCTGTAGAGTCCACTCGTCTCGTTATACATCCTTTATCTGTTACTTATGAGCTTTATGTCCTTAAGCAAGGACATAAACTTGTGTCATTGATCCTCAATGATGATGTGTGCTCCGAACTGATAGGCTTAACTATGAGAAGATGAGATCTCTCAGGTGAGACTGTATCCACACATACCTTTTACCACTGTGACCTCTGCTCAAACTGAAGGGTTTGAGAATTCTGTGCTCTTTGCAAGCAAATTATGCCTCTAATTGTGGGGTATAAGGAGTGGGTAAAGACATGTTGACCATGAGCACCCATCCTATAAGCTTACCATCTACAATTTTGGTACATGACTGGCTATCTAGGAAGGTGATAAAAGGGTTAGGAAAAGACAACAATCAAAAAACCTTCTCTAAGTTTGAATCTGTGAATTCAGAGACTGCAGTCTTTGTCTCAGTGAAACGCTGAGTGGGAGTTCCTGCCTTTAGATTTAAACAATGATAAATGAAAGTTTCAGGCTTCGTGCACCAAGATCTCACTCAGTTAAAAGTTATGAGTTCCCTCAATTTTAGTGATCAACACCACTTATTCCTTGGCCCAATGGCTCAATAATTTTGTTGAAAATTCATATCCTATAAGTTATCATTAATGCCCACAACCTATTAAAAATTTAATTTTATTTGCCACCCCAGTGCTCACTGACTTAGATAAGAACACAACATATTGAGAACTGTTTTTAAAATCAGAAGTAGGGCAGTTGCCTCTGCATCATAATTATAACTCTATAATCAACTGGTACCTAGGAACTCCCCAGTGAACATACCTTTTGTCTCCGCACCTGGAAACATGGCCCCTGTGCAAAATGTTAGCCACCAACTTATAAAGGGAGAAAAGAAGTTCCTCAAACCCTTGCCAAAAGTAATCACATGTTCTTCTTGAAAAAGAAAATGGGATTTTTGTCTCTAAAAAAGTACTATGGCATCAAATGGTAACATTATCTTACTAGTCACTTCTGTTGATATCTGATCTCCTGAATGTTTAGGACACTAACAATTTGATTTAAATTAGAGATAGTGTAGCCTTAACCAAAACAGCTGGTATTGGTACAAAAATAGACACATAGACAAATGGAATAGAATAGAGAGCTCAGAACTAAGACTGCACATCTACAGCCATCTAATCTTCAGCAAACCTGACAAAAACAAGCAATGGGGAAAGGATGCCCTGTTTAATAAATGGTGCTGTGATGACTGGCTAGCCATATGCAGAAAATTGAAGCGGGACTCCTTCCTTGCAACTTACACAAAAATTAACTCAAGATGGATTAAAGACTTAGATGTAAAACCCAAAACTATGCAAATCCTAGAAGAAAATCTAGGCAATACCATTCATGATATAGGCATGGGCAAAGATTTCCTGATGAAAATGTCAAAAGCAATTGCAACAAAAGCAAAAATTGATAAATGAGATCTAATTAAACTAAAGAGCTTCTGCACAGCAAAGGAAACTATTATCAGAGTGAACAGACAATCTACAGAATGGCAGAAAATTTTTGCCATCTATCCATCTGACAAAGGTCTAATATACAGAATCTACAAGGAACTTAAACAAATTTAAAGAAAAAAAAAACCCCATTAAAAAGCAGGCAAAAGACATGAACAGACACTTCTCAAAAGAAGACATTTATGCAGCCAACAAACATATGAAGAAAAGCTCCACATCACTAATCATTAGAGAAATGCAAATCAAACCCACAATGAGATACCATCTCACACCAGTCAGAATGGTGATTATTAAAATGTCAAGAAACAACAGATGCTGGAGATGCTATGGAGAAATAGGAACGCTTTTATACTGTTGGTGGGAGTGTAAATTAGTTCAACCATTGTGGAAGACAGTATGGCCATTCCTCAAAGATCTAGAACCAGAAATACCATTTGACCCAGCAATCCCATTACTGGGTATATACCCAAAGGAATGTAAATCATTCTATTATAAATATACATGCACATGTATGTTCATTTCAGCACTATTTATAATAGCAAAGACATGGAATCAACCCAAATGCCCATCAATGATAGACTGGAGAAAGAAAATGTACATATACACCATGGAATACTATGTAGCCATAAAAAGGAATGAGATCATGTCGTTTGCGGGGACATGGATGGAGCTGGAAGCCATTATCCTCAGCAAACTAACGCAGGAACAGAAAACCAATCACCACAGGTTCTCACTTATAAGTAAGAGCTGAACAATGAGGACGCATGGACCACAGGGAGGGCAACAACACACACTTGAGCCTATGGGGGGTGGAGGAGGGAGAGCATCAGGAAAAATAGCTAATGCATGCGAGGCTTAATACCTAGGTATTAAGGTATTATCCTCATTCCAAAGTCTGTTAATGTACCTTCTAACCAGCAGTCCTTGCTGAGCCTCCATTAGATCAAGAAGAACTCAAAGGAGACAACTGTTTGATGTTTGTGTGGTTGGTTGGTTGATTCACTGTTTGAGGTTTGGAAGTGTTTGCACTGGGGCCATGCACTGAGCCACCCCCAAGCCCTTCCTTAAGGCTGTAGGTCTAAGAACATGCACATCGCCCTGAACAACGACCTCCAGCAGAAGAAAGCAAATGCTGTTTTACTTCAAATCATGGATGCTGCAATCATATGATATTTGCTAAGCTGCGAAACATGTTTATTTAGCAGATACTGTAAGGAATTTTCTGAACACCTCTTTAATGTATGAGGAAGGTTGTCCTGCTACGGATGCAATTCAATTCTTCGTTTTTTATTACTATTTCAAACATATATATTTATATTAAGCTTAGATGATAATAAAAATTTTAAAGGGATAAGGATGAGGATAAGGTTGATGGGTGCAGCAAACCACCATGGCACACGTTTACCTATGTAACAAACCTGCACGTCCTACACATGTATCCCAGAACTTAAATTAAAAAAAACAGAGCGACAAGTAAAGAATGGTTTGCGAGAGGGACGCTTGCCAATTTGAATGGCCTTAACAGCATGAATGGCCCCATACATTTTATGAATAAAATACTATTCTTCCACTGCTTTCTTTCTGGACAGCGCTTGTTGATAAAGATAATATCCTAATTTATATACCAAAACAGACTTCCCATTAATTTTTGGCTTCAGCAGTTCAGATTTGTCTTTAGCAGCACCATCATTAGATCAATCAAAAGAAAAACACATTCAAAAGACTAGAGAAATACTCCCTGTTGTCATTCAGTTTATTTAAAGCATTCATATGATCTCCAACAGGTTGTCAGCTATTGGGTTTCTCACAATAGAACCAAAGGAATTTTTGAATTTCCAGGGTTCATTAAGTATTCATTCTTAGATCTGACTACCTCATAATCTGGGACTAGCCTTATCTTTGATGGCAGCCAAAGTCTTCCAAAGACCCTAGACCATATTCACATTTGCCCTGATTCTGGCCTAATTTGAGCTAATTAGAGTTATTGGTTGAAACTGGCATCCCCTGCTCAATATTAAGGGTTATCCTGCTATCCTTGAAAAGTATTACATTTTACCCCAAAGCTCAGTTGAAAGACTATTCCTGCTTCTACTTCTCCAGGGAGCTATATTTAGCTATTTCTGCTAATAACATCAGGAAGATTTCCTGTATATCCCTCTGAATAGCTCACTGTCTTCCCAGGTCCTGGTGGCTATTGGATCACTGGTAATTCTAGAGTTGCATAGTTCAATATGGGAGCCAGAAGCCACATAGGATTATTTACGTTTAAACTAACAAATATATGTAAAATTAAAAATCTAGATTCCCGGTCACACTAGCCACATATAAAGAGCCCAAGAACCACATATGACTCATACCTCCCATACTGTAGGGCACAGGTGTGGAACATTTTTATATCACAAAACATTCTACTGAAAAGTGCTGCCAAGAGGAGTCATAATTGCCATGAAAAAGAGGGTCTGGGAGGAGGAATATTTAAATGAAGCCAAGATAGCTTGAATCTATTAACTGGGTCTCCTCTACCAGTAGGTACAGGACCTGGATTAAAAAAAAAAAAAAAAATCAACCGCAAACATTTGCATATGGGCTTGGGCATTAGTTTATTTCCCTTGTATCCTCTTCAAACAATAAGCTCCATGGTACTCAACTCTGGCTGCATATTAGAATCACACAGCAAATCTGGTTTAATTGGTCTGGGGATGCGAGGCAGAAAATTGGTAGGTTTTAAAAGCCCCAGGTGAATTCTCTTTTGTATTTAGGCTTGAAAAGTACCGATTTAGAAAATACATTACCTCATTTAATCAAATAAGTATTCTATAAAGGCAGCGCTTCAGTCAAAATAAAATTTCCTCAATGTTTTATAGAAAAGCCTGCTGAATCCCAGACTTAACTAATGGGAATTAAGATACAGCTGGTATTGTTATCCGGGTAGTTCATAGGGGCAAACTGAGAAGCTGGATTGGATCTAGTTTAGATAACCCTAATAATCACCATCCATTGCAGGTAGTCTTCTATACTAAACTAAAATGTACGTTGGAAAAATAATTATAGAAAGAAACATAAAATCCACTTCATTCGTACCTCAATTATCGGCAACTTGCAGTAACAATTCTGCTATTCATTTCTGCATATATTCTCTCCCAAACCCTCACCAGAGTTATTAATATAGTTCACATTCATGTTACCTCTGGGATCTTTCACAGTTTTAGAGAATAATTGATCATTAGGGAATAATTCCTCCTTTATTTTCTCTTGACAGTTTCATTATGCTGAATTCATGAGTTTTTCTTATCATATAAATTGTTCATTTTTTGTTACTATATAAAATGTAAATAATATCTTTAAAATGGGAGATTATAAAGGATGGAAACTATTTCAGTCATTTTATTTCACTTTATTTTGTTTGAGTAGAAATCCAATTTTCTTTATTATTTTTGGCAGAAACATAACTCTAGAATATTTAGATTAATATTACTCCTCATTCCTCTGATTCTTGCTGGGGAAAAATAGGAAAATTTAATGCATAAAAGAATATTCTGCAAGTCTAAATATCTATGTCAGTGATAACCCAGATTGGGTTTAGGACAGTTTTGTAGCCAATAATATTTATGCTCTTCAGGGGATAGTAAAAATGCAGCTACAAATAATATTTTAGTGTTACAAAACATTTGATTGGTAAGAATCACATCTTTAAAATTATTAGCAGTTGTATTTTGTGCCATTACAAATTCTACAGAATATGCTTTAACACATATCAGGTTATTGTCATATATTTTTTACACCTTTTTCTTTTTCTAAGTTGGTTATGCATTGTTCAAAAAAATTAATATTTTGAATAGGGTGAGTATTTTTATTATTTGTGATTTAAAAGATAATTGCATAACTTTTTTAAATTGAAAAGAAAAGTAATAAAGTAATTTGAAACTTTCAAACTCACCACTGCCTTGTCAGGCTTCTATGATCTGGGCCTAACCTGTTTATCCATTGTATTTCCAGCTGTTTTTCAATAAGCACCATCCACACGAGTCAGTGTTATTTTCAAAAGGCTTCTATACTTGCAGTTTCCTTTCCTGCATTTCCAAATTTGTCATGTTGCTTATCTTGCTCAGAATTTCCTTCATTCTCAAAAGTATGGGTGTGGTACAGATTTTCGGGCAGCAGCATGTAACACTTTAAAGAAAAGTTATGTGTTAATTGAAAGAAAGTTTAATTTTACTTTAGTTGATATAATTTTTATTGTATATGAGCAGAAGGAAGGAAGAAAAGGAAGAAGAGGAGGTAGTGGTGAGGAAAGGAGAGAAGAAAGGGAGAAGAAAGCAGAGGGAGGAAAAAGGAAAAGCTATTTTTAAAAAATAGAATGGCAGCTGATAAAGGTAAAAAGAATGATCATATTAGAAAATTGCAATAGATTTTTAAAAAAATTAATGGGTGAGTTTATGAGAAACTCACCCATAGATAAACTCACCCATAGACAGTCTCACTTTTAGAACAGTCTCACTCTTAAAGACTATTCACATGGTCTCTAAGTATCTGCCCCAAATTACCTATTACTTATAAAAGTAAAAAAATGTACTTTACAGTAGAGAAAGAAACATAATAGACACCATTACAATCTAATGATCAAAATTGCCATCACAATATTTTGAAACAATATTATCCATTGAGAAGGACACAACATTACATCTGGAATACTCCTCCCAAAGATGTATAACTTAACCTGAAAGTAACCATGAGAAAACTTCAGATAAAACCAAATTGAGGCCGGGTGCGGTGGCTCAAGCCTGTAATCCCAGCACTTTGGGAGGCCGAGACGGGCGAATCACGAGGTCAGGAGATCGAGACCATCCTGGCTAACATGGTGAAACCCCGTCTCTACTAAAAAAATACAAAAAACTAGCCAGGTGAGGTGGAGGGCGCCTGTAGTCCCAGCTACTCGGGAGGCTGAGGCAGGAGAATGGCGTAAACCCGGGAGGCGGAGCTTGCAGTGAGCTGAAATCCGGCCACTGCACTCCCGCCTGGATGACAGAGCCAGACTCCGTCTCAAAAAAAAAAAAAAAAAAAAAAACCAAATTGAAAAAATATTCTACAAACTAACTGGTGTTAAAAATATGAAGGTCAAGACACAAAAAGAAATATAAATTAACTATTCCAGATTAAGAGATACTAAAAAAACACCACAAATTTAGTGCATGGTCCTAGATTCAATCTTAGTCCAAAAAAAATCTATAAAGGACATTATTATGACAAATGTAACTTGAATATGAATTATGGAGTAGATAAGTTGAGTCAATGTTAAATTTCCTATTTTTGATAATTGTGTTGTGATGATATATTATCATTTCTTAAGAAATACTAAAGTTTCATGGGTAAAGAGACATTATGTCTCCAAGTTATCCCTCTACAGTTCAGAAAAAATAATAGTTTATGTATTAAACATTTATAATGTTTATAAATATATGTACCTAATGTTTATAATACTTACATATACATATGAAGATAAAGAACATTATAAAGCAAAAAGGACAGAATAAAACTGAAGAAATTCTAGAAGGGACGGGAATCCCTTCTAGAATTATTTCAGTTTCTCTGTAAACATGAATTGATAGAAAAATCAAAATATTTTTAAAACCCTATTACACAAAAAGCTTCTATGAAACAAAAAAGACAACTAACAGGAAAATGGGCAAAGAATATAAAAGGCAATTCACAGAAGAAATTAAAATAGAAATAATAGTAAGTTTATTGTTACTAAATATAAATAATTCTCATTAAAGATAAAACTATATTGTGTTTATTTTTATTTTTAAAATTATTTAAAAATTTTTAGTAAAGCATACATTACATAAAATTTACCATTTTAACCATTTTTGAGTGTACAAGTTTAGTCGCATTAAATCCATTCACACTACTATGCAACTATCACTACCATCTACCTCCAGAATGTTTTTTATCTTGCAAAACTGAAACTCTCCCCATTAAACATTCATTCCTTATCTCCTATCCCCAGTTCCTGGCAGCCATCATTCTACTTTAAAGACACAGGTACATGTATGTTTATTGCAGCACTACTTACAATAACAAAGACTTGGAACCAACCCAAATGCCCATCAATGATAGACTGGATAAAGAAAATGTGGCACATGTACACCACGGAATACTATGCAGCCATAAAAAAGGGTAAGTTCATGTCCTTTGCAGGGACATGGATGATGCTGGAAACCATCATTCACAGCAAACTAACCCAAGAACAGAAAACCAAACACTGCATGTTCTCACTCATAAGTGGGAGTTGAACAATGAGAACACATGGACACATGGAGGGGAACATCACACACTCGGGCTTGTCAGGGGTTGGGGGGTTAGGGGAGGGATAGCATTAGGAGAAATACCTAATGTAGATGATGAGTTGATGGGTGCAGCAAACCATATGTATACCTATGTGACAAACCTGCACATTCTACACATGTATGACGCTGGCCTCATAAAATGAGTGAGGGAGGATTCTCTCTTTTTCTGTTGATTGGAATAGTTTCAGAAGGAATGGTATCAACTCCTCTTTGTACCTCTGGTAGAGTTTGACTGTGAATCTGTATGTCCTGGACTTTTTTTGGTTGGTAGGCTATTAATTGCTGCCTCAATTTCAGAACTTGTTATTGGTCTATTCAGGGATTTGACCTCTTCCTGGTTTAGTCTTGGGAGGGTGTATGTGCCCAAGAATTTATCAATTTCTTCTAGATTTTCTAATTAATTTGTGTAGAGGTGTTTGTAGTATTCTCCAATGGTAGTTTGTATTTCTGAGGGATCAGTGGTGATATCCCCTTTATCATTTTTATTGCATCTATTTGATTCTTCTCTCTTTCCTTTTGTATTAGTCTGGCTAGTGGTCTATTTATTTTGTTGATCTTTTCAAGAAAACCAACTCCTGGATTCGTTGATTTTTTGAAGGGTTTTTCGTGTCTCTCCTTCAGTTCTGCTCTGATCTTAGTTATTTCTTGCCTTCTGCTAGCTTTTGGATTTGTTCACTCTTGCTTCTCTAGTTATTTTAATCGTGATGATAGAGTGTCATTTTAGATCTTCTCTGCCTTCTCTTGTGGGCATTTAGTGCTATACATTTCCTTCTACACACTGCTTAAATGTGTCCCAGAGGTTCTGATATGCTGTGTCTTTGTTCTCATTGGTTTCAAATAACATCTTTATTTCTGCCTTCATTTCATTATTTACCCAGTAGTCATTCAGGAGGAGGTTGTTCAGTTTCCATGTAATTGTGCAGTTTTGAGTGAGTTTTGTAATCCTGAGTTCTAATTTGATTGCACTGTGGTCTGAGAGACTGTTATGATTTCCATTATTTTGCATTTGCTAAGGAGTGCTTTACTTCCAATTAAGTGGTCAATTTTAGAATAACTGCAGTGTGGTGCTGAGAAAAGTGTATGTTCTGTTGCTTTGGGGTGGAGAGTTCTGTAGATGTCTGTTAGGTCTGCTTGGTCCAGAGCTGAGTTCAAGTCCTGGATATCCTTGTTAATTTTCCGCCTCATTGATCTGTCTAATATTGACAGTGGGATGTTAAAATCTCCCACTATTATTGTGTGGGGAGTCCAAGTCTCTTTGTAGGTCTCTAAGAACTTTCTTTATGAATCTGGGTGCTCCTGTATTGGGTGCATATATATTTAGGATAGTTAGCTCTTCTTGTTGCATTGATCCCTTTACCATTATATAATGCCCTTGTCTCTTTTGACCTTTGTTGGTTTAAAGTCTGTTTTATCAGAGCCTAAGATTGCAATCCCTGCTTTTTATTATTATTATTATTTGCTTTCCATTTGCTTGGAAAATATTCTCCATCAGCTGTGGATTTTTCATAAATGGCCTTTGTTATGTTGAGGAACTTTCCTTCTATACCTAAACTATTAAAAGTTTCAATAAAGAATGCTGAACTTTGTCAAACGCTTTTTTGTGTCAATTGAGATCATCATGGGGGATCATCTGAGATTATCCTGTGAATGTGATGTATCACATTGACTCATTTACCCATGTTCAACCAGCCCTGCATGTCAGCAATGGATTCCACTTGCTCATGATGTTCAATTTTGTTGTTGTTTTCAATTAAGTTTGATAATGTTTAATTGTTGTTGTTGAATTCAGTTGAGCATTTTTGCATCAATGTTCCTCAGAGATATTGCTGTGTAGTTTTCTTCTCATATTGTGTCTTTCTTTGGCTTACGTCTCGAGGTGATGCTGGCCTCATAAAATGTGTTTGAAAATACTCCTTCTAGTGCTATTTTTTGGGGAGAGTTTAAGAAGCATTGATAATTCTTCTGTGAATGTTTCATAGGATCCAAATGTGAAGGTGTGAAACTGTGAGGCCACCTGGAAAGGTCTGACCTTTTTTGTTGAAACGTTTTTAATTACTTCTTCAACCTTTTTATTTGGTATTGGTTTGTCTAAGCTTTCTATCTCTTCCTGATTGAATCTTGGTAGCTTATATTTTTTGAGGAATTTATTCATTTCCTTTAGGTTATCCAATTTGTTGGCATATAGTTTTTCATACTAGTCTCTTATGATCCTTTTACTTTCTTTGGTATCTACTATAATGTCTTCATTTTCATTTCTGATTTTATTTGAGTTTTTCTCTACTTTTCTTAGTTTGCCTAGCAAGGATTTTGTCTATTTTATTTTTTTCAAAAAAAACAACTCTTAGTTTTATTGATTTTTTTCTATAGTTTTTCTATTCTCTATTCGATTTAATTCTGGTCTAATCTTTATTATTTCTTTCCTTCTGCCAACTTTGGCTTGTTTTTCTTTTTCCAACTCCTTGAGGCATAACATTAGACTATTTATTTGGAATCTTTCTTCTTTTATAATGTGGTCATTTATTGGTATAAGCTTCCCTCTTAGAATTACTTTTGCTGCTTCCCATAGATTTTGATACATTGTGATTCTATTGTCATTTGTCTCAACATATTTTTAAGTATTGCTTTTGATTTCTTTTTTGACCTACTGGTTGGTTGTTCAGGAGCAAGTTTTTTAATTTCTACATATTTGTAAATTTTTAAGGTTCCTTTTGTTTTTAATTTCTAATTTCATACCCATTGTTTTCAGAAATAGTCTTAGGTATATTCTTGATCTTCTTGAATTTGTTGAGACTTGTTTTATGGCCTAATATATTGTCTATCCTTAAGAATGTTCCATGTGCACTAGAAAAAAAATGTATGTTCTGCTGCTGTTGGATGGAAAGTGCTGAAGGTATTTAGTTTAATTAAGTTCCATTTGCTAATTTTTGTTTTTATAGTGGCTTCCTTGGGGAGACTGTTACCTGCAGATATTGTCTGCAGGTTTTAGTTGGGCAACGTGCAGTGGCTCTGGTTCTGGGTAGGCACAGTAGTGGAATCCATTTCTCACTGTAAAGGACTTTAAAGATCCTTCTGTTCTAGTTTCCCCATAGTGGGAGATTTACCTGAAGGCATCTCTCTTGGTGTTGAGCCTGACACAGGCCAGAGGCAGCCAAGCAGTGCTGTGTTTATTACAGGGAACAGGTGCTCAGAGTGGCTGTGGAGCTGGGGTCTGGGGCTCAGTGCCTTGTTGAACTGCCATGGCACCTGTGGTGTAGGTCCAGGTTTATTCTTTCAGGTTTGGATGGTGCAGCTCTCCCACAAGTCCAAGTACTGTGACTCTGAGGCACTTCCCAGTATCTTAGGCCCAGGATCAGGCATGTTGCTGACTCATCCTGGGTGTTAGGGTGCAGCAATGGCATGGCTCTGGGAAGGAAGAGGTTTTCCAGAGGTTCAGGCCCCAATGAGCAGAGTACAGTTGCAATTCAGGTTACAGAACCAATAGGACACAGTGGCAATTCATGCACCAAGAACTCTAAGCCCCGGAGTAATGGGACACAGCAGTGACTCAGGCTCTGTGAGGTCAGGCGCAGTGACAGCAAGGGTCCAAGAATGATGGGGGCACATCTGTGGCTTTGGCCCTGGGGTGTGTGCAGCAGTGCAATGTTGGCTTCACTCCTAGGGAGGTGGGGAACCTCAGCAACTCAGGCTCTAGAGGACTATCCCGATCCAGGGAGGCAGGGTGCTGTGGGTGTTCAGTCCAGAGGGTAGGGTGATCAGATCAGATCAGTGTTTCTGTAGGAGGCTGGCCTATGCCCATTTTAAAATTGAGCTCTGTTGTTGTGGTTGAGTTGTAGGAGGTCTCCACATATTCTGGATTATTAATACCTTATCAGATATGTGATTTAAATATATTTTCTCCCATTCTGTGGTTTGCCTTTTTACTCTTGATATTTTCCATTGATGACTGAAAGTTTTTAATTTTGATAAATTCTAACATATCTATTTTTTGTACAGTATGTTTTGTATCATCTAAGAAGTCATTGCCAAATCCAATATAAGGTTTTCTCCTATGTTTTCTTCTAAGAGTTTTAAAGTGTAGCTCTTAGTTTTAGGTTTTTGGTCCACTTTGAGTTAATTTTTATATGTGTAAGATAAGGGTGCAACATCATTATTTTGCATGTGGATATCTAGTTTTCTCAGCATTGTATGTTGTAAAGACTATTTTTTCCATACTGATTAGTCTTAGCACTCTTGTAAAAAATCATTTGACCATATATGTGAGGGTTTATTTCTTAGCTCTCTATCCTATTCCATCAAAATATGTGTTTGTCTTTAGGCCAATACCATATCATTTTGGTTATTGTAGCTTTGCAGTAAGTTTTGAAATTATGAAGTGTAAGTCTTTCAATTTTGTCCTTTATCAAGGTTATTCTGACTATCAGGTCCCTTATAGGGACAGGGTCTCTAACCCCTGGTCCGTGGCCTGTTAGGAACTGGGCCACACAGCAGGAGGTGAGCAGTGGGTGAGCAAGGGAAGCTTCATCTGTATTTACAGCTGTTCCTCATTGCTGGCATTACCACTGGAGCTCTGCCTCCTGTCAGATCAGTGGCAGCACTAGATTCTCATAGGAGTGCAAACCCTATTGTGAACTGTACATGCGAGGGATCTAGATTGTGTGCTTCTTATGAGAATCTAATACCTGATAATCTACCACTGTCTCCCGTCACCCCCAGATGGGACTACCTAGTTGCAGAAAAACAAGCTTAGGGCTACCACTGATTTTACATTATGGTGAATTGTATAATTATTTCATTATATATTACAGTGTAATAATAATAGAAATAAAGTACACAATAAATGTAATGCACCTGAATCATCCTAAAATAATTCCCCCACCACCATTCCGTGGAAAAATTGTCTTCCATGAAACCGGTCCCTGCTGCCAAAAAGGTTGGAGACTGCTGCCTTAAGATTCTGTATGAATTTAAAAAAAAAAAAAAAAAAAAAAAAAACTTACTTTTTTCTGTAAAAAAAAAAAGCATTTGGGATTTTGATAGAGATTGCACTGAATCCTTAGATCACTTTGAGTGGTACTGACATCTTAACAATATTACTTAATATTCTTAATATTTCCAATGCATGAAAAGTCTAGTTCTGGCTTAGGTGCTTGGAAATAGGCATTTCATGCATTTACTAGCAGAACTACTAGCTATAGTGATTTGAAAAGTTTCCTAATATCTATTAAAATTAAAATGATATATACCTTTAATGCACCAACCTCACTTACATGTTCTTTTTTATAGAAATGCAATCACTGTGATATAAATATATGTGAACAATGGTATTTATTGCACCATTGCTTGTAGTGGCAAAAAACGATAATAAAATGTTATTCAGTAGAGGCATCATTGAATAAATTAGGACACATTCACATTGTAGAATATCATGCAGCAGCTTAAAAATGTGACAGATGAAAGAAATTTCTATCAATTTAAAAGTGAGGAGGATATAAGCATATAAGCCTGTTGTTATTCAGAACCACAAACCACTGTTTACATATATATTTTTACATGTTTGAAGAAAGGTTTGGGAAATGATACCTTACTCATAAGATTGGTTGTTTGGAGGAAGAAGCCTAGAGGTTTGAGGTTGGTAAAGAGAGACAATGAGAATATAGCATAAAGTTTTATTTCATATGTCTGTATTGTAGTGATTCTTTTACCTTTATAGGCAGGTTTTCCAATTGTGTTGGTCACAGAAGGCAGAGTAAATTCAATAGTTTTTTGGTTTAAGGTAACAACTTTCGAATGCCCTAAAAAAATGAGAACAGTGTTATTAAATTATGTGGAGAATTAAGTAATTTCAACTTTTAAAAAGTTAAGATAAATCTTAGTCTTCTAAAACACAGTTTCCTTACAACTTTTTTTCAGTAATTTAACTTTTAACTTTATTTTGTATCCACTGAAGCCCAGGATTTTGCTTATTATTTTAATATATATAATTGTCATATATAATTTCTGACCATTTTTTCTTCTAGCTCACTGGGAAAGAAAATGGATTTCACTTTCTTTGCTTACATTCATTTGCTTCCCCAAAAGCAAGCCCAAATATCTTTTTATTGTTTTCTTTTTCCTTTTATATTGCATGTAGTAAAAAAATAAAACAAAAGTAATAGTCAACTTTCTGCATTTCCTGTTAATTTTTTACTTAGAACCTTTATGAATAGAAAGTGCCATGGATATTTATTTTAGAGCACAGAATAAATCTAAGAAAAATCATTTACATTTTTTAAAAAGTTCAAACTCTCAGGAGGCTGAGGCAGGAGAATTACTTGAACCCAGGAGGCGGAGGTTGCAGTGAGCCAAGATCATGCCACTGCACTCCAGCCTGGGCGACAGAGCAAGACTCCGTTTCTAAATAAAATAAAATAAAATAAAATTCAAACTTAGTTAACTGTAGAAAATGTACCAGGGTGATAATTACATAATGATGCCTCTGGAGTGACAGATAAGAATCAAATCTTAGTTCTCAGATATTAATGGAGTTAGAAGCCTAGGAAGATGATAATGAAGGGAAGGGAAAAACTAAACATATGATTTATTTTTCTTCTCACCTATCCTTATGTTGTATTTCTATTGTATGCTCTCCCTGGGGTTGAATAAAAGAGGGACATATAAATATAAGAAAGAGATTATAAAATGAGTTTATCTCAGTCATCCACAAAATCTATAGTAGTGAACAAGACAAAAAGGTGGAGAACTAAAATGGAGCTCCAAGTTAGTCACAACGGAGAAGGGGAAGAGAAATGCCAGGGACACTACTCATCGCTAAGAATGAACAAATGTTAGATAAACTTAACTCACAACTTACTTTCATTTATGTTTTGCTAAACTGTTATATGACTGAAGCTATTACAACTTGGTTATTTACATTTAGTTATAGCTTTATTTTAAAAATCACACTGTACACTAAAAATATTAAAAGTTACCTGAATGGAGTTGATTCAGTAAAGGAAGATGGATGTCTTTAGAAAAGCTTGAACTAGCCCTATATGTTCTATAAACTGCTTTTGAAGGTGCAATCGCATAGGGTGAAGAGTACTCATAAGTTTCCTCTAGAAAAATTTAGAAAATATGTTAGCCATACAATAGATGACATTTGTAATTATTTTTAATACTCACACAGTATATATGCACACAACATCAAAGCATCTAAATATATAAAGCAAACGTTTAAAAAAACCTGAAAGGATACATAGACTGCAACAAAATAATAGTAGGGAATTTCAATATCCCCAACTATTGAACAAGAGACAGGTCATCCAGATAGAAAATAAATAACCACTGGACTTGAACTACACATAAGATAAAGCATGTTTATCAGACAATTACACAATGTTCTATCCAACAGTAACGGGATACACATTCTTCTCAAGTGCACAAAGAACACTCTCCAGAATAGATCATATGTTAGGCCACAAAAGAGGTCTTAACAATGTAAGATCAAAATTACATCAAATATTAACTACATATCAGTAACAGGAGAATAAAAAGAAACTTAATAGATCTTTGAAACATTAAACAATATGCTCCTGAAGAACTATTGTGTCAAGGAGGAAATTAAAAAGGGAAATTTAAATATATCTACAGACAAAAGAAAATAAAAACATAACATACAAAAACTTATGGGATGCAGAAAATGTAGTCCTAAGAGGAAAGTTTATAGCATTAAATGTCTACATCATAAAAGAAGAATCAAATAAACAACCTAAAATTACACTTTACAGAAGTAGTAAAAGCAGAACTAAGCATAAATCTAACAGAAGAAAAAAATGAAGATCAAAGCAGAAATAAAGAAAACAGAGACTAGAAATGATCGATTCCATTTTCCCCAGTCTGCATTCCATTCTGGTATCCTCCAACATCCTGGTTCATTTATTCTTTCATGTATGTTTTTACTGAGAAAATTATAATGCTATTGAATGGTGAAATAGGTGACCTTATTGTATGGATTACTGACTGCCATATTTGCCTTCGTTTCTCCCCGCTTTTTGTTAATGGGAATGTCTTCTGCGGTCTGTCCCTGTCTCACCACTGTTACATTGCGTGTGTGTGAGCAGAGACTTCAAAACTGCTTATACATTGAGGCTTGCCTGCATGCTGCTCTTAGAACTTGAAGACTCCTAGCTAGTTGGTTGGATGATGAGAAACATGCAGCCAACTCACCTCCTGCGTCAGTTATTAAGTTCAGTCGCCAAACCACCCTTCTAAACTCTGCTTTATGATACGGGATCTGGGATTCTGCAGACCACATTTTTGCTTTGCAAAGTAGCTCCAAGGCAGGCTGTACAAGATAGGCTAGATAGAGGAAAACTGCAAATTTGGAGGAAAAAGGACAGACTTGTTCTTCTCATTTTGTTCCTAGTGGGCTTTGAGAGCGTCCTGTCTCTTTTCAGTTTCTGTGAAGAACATCTCAGTATTGTTTCCTTATCCCAGAAGTAGCAATTCCTCCCATAGCAACAAAGAGTTTGCATTTTTTTCCCAATATTTGCAGAACCAGTTTTATTATTCCTCCTTGCTTAGAAACTAGCAGTAGATGGCCAGGGCACCTCCTTCAGAAGTATGGATCCAAGGTCCTACCACAGAATCAGGGACACTAGCACCATCCAATCTACACCTTATGCAGAGATCTCCTTCAGTTCTGGGTATGGCAATTCCTTTCTGTAATTGCTTGCTCCATGTAACCTTAGAATTCTTTTAATACTTTCAGTTACCAAGTTAACAACTTTATACTTAGTCATCTACTTTTTACATTCTTGCTTTTTTTTTTTTTTTTTTTTTTTTTTTTTTTTGAGATGGAGTCTTGCTCTGTCACTAGGCTGGAGTGCAGTGGCGTGATCTCGGCTCACTGCAACCTCCACCTCCTGGATTCAAGCGATTCTCCTGCCTCAGCCTCCCAAGTAGCTGGGACTACAGGCATGTGCCACCATGCCCAGCTAATTTCTGTATTTTTAGTAGAGACAGGGTTTCACCATGTTGGCCAGGATGGTCTCTTGACCTCATGATCTGTCTGCCTCAGCTTCCCAAAGTGCTGGGATTACAGGCGTGAGCCACCGCACCTGGCCCTCTTGCTTTCTTTTTGAACAACCAGTGAAGTTTCTATTTACTGAATGGGCCCACTGTATTCATCATTGTCTCAAACAGCAGCCAGTCAACTGCTATACATGTGGGTGAATTGATAATTTGACCAAAAATGCATGCTAGCCCAGCCAAGACAATCATCAGTTACCTAAGCGGTTACTGTTTTATGCTTTTTAAAGTTTTAGGGTAGATATGGAGTAGTAAAACACTAACAAATATGGAAATAAAAATTAAAATAAGAGTGAGATATAATTTAGTAACTTTCAGATGGGTATAAATGAGAAAAAAACCCAGCAATCCATATTGCAGATGGTTATGCAGAGAAAAGAATTTCCCCTAAAGATTGCCAAATGAAAATGTTAATTTATTAGCCCTTTAGGAAAGCAATCTGGAAATATCATTTAACGTTAAAAATCCATGTGTACTTTAATAAGAAATCTCAACCCTAAAATGTCATTGCTCTTTAATAGAATGATTGAATAAAATGTTCTTACTATGAAGTATCATGCTGCCAATAAAAAGGATGGATTAAAACAATTTTATTTTTACGCTTGTAAGAATTTTCCTAAGATATTTCTGAAAAAAAGTAAGATGCATAAAGAGTAAATGAAAAAGCATACTTTAAAACTATTCTAGGTAATTAGATACTGAATTCATATCTTCATACATAATTCTTTACCTTTATTTTCAAAGGGTGATAAATTGATCACTTTTGTTGGGAATTTACTTGGTGTGATGCTCCTATTGAAGATACCTTCTTGACGTTGTATGGACATATCTTTGTTTTTAAATAAATTCACATCTAACATAAAATTTTAAAAGAAAAAGTGTATGAGTACTCCTGACTATTCACACACTAATCCCCAACTCCACGTATTTGTCTCTATTTCTGCACTGGTAATTTTTCTTCCCACATTTTATTAAATGGCCACTTGTCTATTATGTAAATTTCTGTGTAGTCTCTCATCATTTTCTCTTTCTCGTCTTTGTTCTGCATTCTGTGATAGTATCTTCCTTAATTTCAACCTTTATCCCAACTTCATTTTAGTTTGACCAAATGTTCATTTCTATAATTGATCCGTAGTCTACATTTGAAAGGATACATTTAGAAAGATAGTTTTGGAGGTCAGAGGTCTATGCATAAGCTACTGGATCCCTCCCTGCCCCAATTCAACCAATGTTTATTAGATTTATTTTTCATTAATCCTATTGTTATAAAAGTAACATGGATTATTATAGAAAACATTTATTTAAACAGAGAATTATAAACCTCATATTTTAAAAAAATCATTGTCTAGAGGTTTTAAAACTTTCTAGCTAATTTCCCATTGATAATATGAGAGTTTAATTATAAGAGAAAATTCATGAAGACATTTGCCCATGAAATATAGGTACTGTTATCATTAAAGATTCACTCTAAAACCCCAGAGAAGATAACTAAACTGTAAATATTAGACTTAAAATTATTATTCTTACCATAGTGAGTCCTTAGTTGTGTCTTTATCTCACCAATTGTTTTACTTGAACCAATAGCATTTGTCAAGGGTTCTACATCAGTCTCTATAGACATAAAATAAATTTCAAAACACTTTGTAAGGTAACCATTTATGTTACATATGTATTTTAGTTCTTTTTTCTTTTGAAATTTCTTTTTCTTTTCTTTTCCTTTTTTTTTTTTAATTTAGAAACAGGATCTCGTTCTGTCACTCGGGCTGGGGCGCAGAGGTGTGAACATGGCTCACTGCAGCTTCAACCTCCTGGGCTCAAGTGGTCCTCCTGCCTCAGCCTCTCCAAGTAGCTGGGACGACAGGTGTGCACCACCACACCTGGCTAATTTTTGTATTTTTTGTAGAGACAGGGCTTTGCCATGTTATCTTTTGAAATTTCCATCTTATTTGATATCAATCTCTATTACCTTCCTTTTCTTCCTTAAGAATAATTTCCTTTAACTCTAAGAACATACTTGTAATAAGTGCTTTGAGGTTTTGCTGGCTAGGTCCAACACCTGGGACTCTCACAAACAGTTACTGTGGCATGCCCTTTTCCTTGGTGTAGGTCACACTTCACTGTTTCTTTACATATTAATAATTTTTGCTAAAGATTTGACAGTTTCCATAATATACTGTAGCATCTCCAGATACTGATTTCCTCCTCCTCTATCTGGGGCTTTTCATTGTTCTCTCCTTATTATTTGCATAGCGCTGTGACTGGGCCATTCTACTAAAGTCTCTTGCCTATAGTGTGAAGTGCTACTGCTGCTCTCCAAGGGGCAGAACCTTGCACATGCATCCAGTACCTTGGATAACATTGGTTTTAGAGGGCCGGCTTGGAATGTGTCTCTTTACATTGTTTCTCTGTTAGCTGTCTGCCTCTTTTTGTATCACACCAGAGATCAAAGAAAATTGTATAACTACATAACAATCTTACACCAAGATGAAAGTCAGTAGTGTAATCTCTGAATTACGTAACACAAATAAAGTACTGTATTGTAGGTGAGACTTTATAAATTTGCCTGACATTTTTATCAAATTGAGGGAATGGATAACCAGTGAAATAGTTATGTGTTGTACTCCTCTTGTCATCACAGTCTTCAGCTAGCCTTTCTGCTTTTGCCTTTCTGCTTTTGCTAATTAAACATCACTTTTCAGAAACAAAAAGTAAGTAGAATAGCTTTGGAAATGCCTACACTGAGACTACTCTAAGGTAACTGTAACACTGAATTTTTATGCATTACTTTTCAAATGGATGAGTTTTAAAATCAATAATATGCTAATGTTCCACTGATAGTAAATGCTAGAGCTTAATTAAAGGATACTCATGATGAATTTTACCTATGTAACACTAGCATGTAGGCACTGTTGTCATGAAATGTCTATACTTAATTTAACTCAGGGAACATAAATAGGTCACAAATATTAGACTCAAAAATTATTTTTCTTACCCTGGTGACTCTTTAATTGTGCATTGATTGGTCCCTTTATTATATCTCTTCCAATAGCATCTTTTAAGAGTTGTTTATCAGTCTCTATAGAATTAAACAGATTTCAAAATACTTTATAAGGTAAACATTACTATACATGTGTATACATGTGTGTTTAATTATAGAAGGATATTCATGAAGGATTTTACCAATGTAACACTATGATATAGGTACCTATGTAATAATAACATGTAGACACTGTTGTCATTAAAGGTCTGCACTTAATTTAACTCAGGGAACATAAATAGGTCACAAACATTAGACTCAAAAATTATTTTTCTTACCCTGGTGACTCTTTAATTGTGCATTGATTGGTCCCTTTATTATATCTCTTCCAATAGCATCTTTTAAGAGTTGTTTATCAGTCTCTATAGAATTAAACAGATTTCAAAATACTTTATAAGGTAAACATTACTATACATGTGTATACATGTGTGTTTAATTATAGAAGGATATTCATGAAGGATTTTACCAATGTAACACTATGATATAGGTACCTATGTAATAATAACATGTAGACACTGTTGTCATTAAAGGTCTGCACTTAATTTAACTCAGGGAACATGAATAGGTCACAAATATTAGACTCAAAAGTTCTTTTTCTTACCCTGGTGACTCTTTAATTGTGCATTGATTGGTCCCTTTATTATATCTCTTCCAATAGCATCTTTTAAGAGTTGTTTATCAGTCTCTATAGAATTAAACAGATTTCAAAATACTTTATAAGGTAAACATTACTATACATGTGTATACATGTGTGTTTAATTATAGAAGGATATTCATGAAGGATTTTACCAATGTAACACTATGATATAGGTACCTATGTAATAATAACATGTAGACACTGTTGTCATTAAAGGTCTGCACTTAATTTAACTCAGGGAACATGAATAGGTCACAAATATTAGACTCAAAAGTTCTTTTTCTTACCCTGGTGACTCTTTAATTGTGCATTGATTGGTCCCTTTATTATATCTCTTCCAATAGCATCTTTTGCTATGGAAAGTACTATGATATAGGTACTGTTGTCATTAAAGGTCTATACTTAATTTAACTCAGGGAATATAAATAAGCCTAAATATTAGACTTGAAAAATTCTTTCTCTTACCTTGGTGACTCTTCAGTTGTCTAATGATTGGCCCTATTATTATACCTCTTCCAATAGCATCTGCCAAGAATTCCTTATCAGTCTCTATTGAAATAAAACAGATTTCAATATATTTTATAAGGTAAACATTACCATACCTCTGTGTGTGTGTGTGTGTGTGTTTAATTATGGGAGGATATTCATGAAGAATTTTACCTGTGTAATAACATATAGGTACTATTGTCATTAAATGTCCACACTTAATTTAACTCCAGGAATATAAATAAACCATAAATATTAGCCTTGAAATTGCTTTTTCTTACCTGGGTGACTTTTTAATTGTGTCTTGATTGACTCCTTCCTTACACCTCTTCCAATAGCATATGCAAAGAAGTTCTTATCAGTCTCTATAGAAATAAAACAGATTTCAGTATATTTTGTAAGGTTATCATTACCATACTTGTGTGTGTTTGTGTGTTTAATTATAGGAAGGTATTCATGAATAATTTTACTTATGTAACACTATAATATAGATATTTTGTTATTAAAGGTCTATACTTAATTTAACTCAGGGAATATAAATCAGCCGTAAATATTAGATGTAAGAAATTCTTTTTCTTACCCTGGTGACCTTTTAGTTGTGCATTGATTGATCCCTTTATTATACCTCTTCCAATAGCATCTGCCAAGTGTTCCTTATCAGTCTCTGTAGAAATAAAACAGATATCAATATATTTTGTAAGATAAACATTACCACATCTCTGAGTATATGTGTGTGTTTAATTATAGGAGGATATTCATTTAGAATTTCACCTATATAATACTAACATATTGGTACTATTATCATTAAAGGGTCATACTTAATTTAACTCCAGGGATATGAATAAACCATAAATATTAGTCTTGAATTTTTTTTTTACCTGGGTGACATTTAAATTGTGTTTTAATTGACCCCTTTATTATACCTCGTCCAATAGTCCAATAGCATCTGCTAAGAGATCCTTATTAGTCTCTATAGAAATAAAGCAGATTTCAATATATTTTGTAAGGTAAACATTTTATGTGTGTGTATGCATGTGTGGTGAGTATTTATTATTATAGTAGAAGAGTCGCAATATAATGTCTTATTGCAGTAAGCATCACAAAACAGAATTTGAAGGGCTATTAGCAATCATATAAGCCTATTATATTGAAGTTCAGAGATGTTTCATGATTTGAACAAGACCACATCAAGATAATGACAAAACTGATGCACAAACCAACACTTTGTAATTCCTTAACCAGTGACTTTACTATATAATGGCATCTCTTATGCAAACTAAAATTATCCTAGAAAGTTTATGATGATAATATAACTTTAAATTTTACACCAGTAGCACTATCTACTGTGGGATGTACCTCGTGAGATAAAAGATAACATTTTTAAGAATAGGTCAATTTGCAACTCATGGTCTCCACAGTCACAGAGAGTTATTGTGGGGCAAAGTGCTTTGATTTGTTCATAAAGACTTCATGTCATTTCTAAGATTTGTAACTATAAATCAAGTATGGATAAATAATGTAGAAAAATAATTAGATATTTTGTGGAATATGAAAATGTGACTTTCATATCTTCTTGAGTTTGTAGACTTTGTAGCTGGGGAGGATGAAGTAAGTAAACTTGTAGTAGCATAAGCATGGAGATTGCATTCCTTTCCACTGGAGTTTTTATGTGATTTGAATCTTTTGCTAGATTTGAAAACTACTGACTAGGTCATATAAAAGGAAAAATACATGAAAGTTGTGAAAGGCGAGTTCATATTGAAAAGGGAAAATTAGAATGGGTGACTTGGGTCAACTGGTGGACCTAATATTTTGTGAGAGAAAGTTGTTTATAGCAGACTATATGCTAAAGTTGGAAACCTATAATGACCCAGATACCACAGAGTAAAGTTTTGCTCTGAAGAAATGTCTGAGCTCTTGAATAAATGTTAAGTTTTACAGTGTAACATCTGAAGCCCAAGTATACCACCAGTGAAATCTAAACCAAAGTATGGACCAGCTGAGGCACCATTACCAAAATGAACCGAGACACATAAGAACGTATTTTCCATAAGTACACAGCTATATTTTGTGAACATAAGCAGATCTATAGAAACATAAAAATAGGGAATATGAGCAGTCATATTTTAGCCTCTCCGATTATTACTCTAACTAGTACACATAAGAAGGAATGGTTCATTTCAAGTGAGTATGCAAAGATTCTTAGATAATAAGAAGGAAGGCAATGAGAAGAGCATTTTAGGGGAGATAAGGTTAAGCATTTAGGAAGAGAATCTATGTACTAAAGTAATTTACAATCTAGTAACATTCATGTTTCCTCCCTTACCGTATCCTCTCATTGCTTTAATTCTTTTTAAATATGATCCTGCCTGGAATTCACTGAGATATTGTTACAAAATAAATAACATATCATGCTATATACTTATGTAAAATGTTCAATTCAGTGTTTTTTAAGATGTTGACATATTTGTGTAGTTCTGACTACAGTCAATTTTAGATTCTACTGGAGTTTATACTAATCAAATTCCAGTGAAGTACAGAAATATTACTCCCATATAGCGTTATTCCTTCTTCAACATTTTTGCACTATTATGTGTATTACAACTACATATATTAAAGACATTGTTATAATTGATGTTATGATTATTTATATAATACTGTGCATTTTAATTAAGCTAAGAAAGACGAGCAAGTACATATTTATAGTATTTACTATACTAACCTTCTTGTTTATAGATTTTTTGCATTTGTTCCTGTGGATTTGAGTTACTATCCAGTGTTATTGTATTTTTTAAACTGTTTAAACATTTTTATTTTTTTATTTCAGTAAGTTTTTGGGGAACAGGTGGTGTTTGGTTTCATGAATGTTCTTTAGTGGTGATTTGTGAGATTTTGGAGCATCCATCACCCAAAAAGTGTACACTGTACCCAATGCGTAGTCTTGACACCTCCTACTCTTTCCCCAAGTCCCCAAAGTCCAACATACCATTCTTATGCCTTTGCATCCTCATAGCTTAGTTCCCACATGAGTGAGAACATATAACGTTTGATTTTCCATTCCTGAGTTACTTCACTTATAATAATAGTCTCTAATTCCATTCAGGTTGCTGTGAATGCCATTATTTTGTTCCTTTTTATGGCTGAGTAGTATTCCATGGTATATACACACCACATTTTCTTTATCCATTCGTTGATTGATGGGCATGTGGGCTGATTCCATATTTTTGCAATGGCAAATTGTACTGCTATAAACATACGTGTGCAAGTACCTTTTTGTACAATGATTTCCTTTCCTCTGGGTAGATACCTAGAAGTGGGATTTCTGGATCAAAGGGTAGATCTACTTTTAGTTCTTTAAGGACTCTCCACACTGTTTTCCACAGTAAAAATGTTTCCTTTTCACTGCATCCATGCCAACATCTATTATTTTTTGATTTTTTGATGATGGCCATTCTTGCAGGAATGAGGTGGTATCGCATTATGGTTTTCATTTGTGTATCCCTGATAATTAGTGATGTTGAGCATTTTTCCATATGCTTGTTGGCCATTTGTATATCTTCTTTTGAGAATTGTCTATTCATGCCCTTAGCCCACGTTTTTATGGGATTTTTTTTTCTTGCTGATTTGAGTTCTTTGTGGATTCTGGATATTAGTTCTTTGTTGGATATATAGATTGTGAAGATTTTCTACCGCTCTGAGGGTTGTCTGTTAACTCTGCTGATAATTTATTTTGCTGTGTAGAAGCTTTTTAATTTAATTAAGTCCCATCTATTTATCTTTGTTTTTGTTGCATTTGCTTTTGGGTTCTTGGTCATGAAGTCTTTGCTTAAGCCAATGTCTAGAAGGGATTTTCCAATGTCATCTTCTAGAAATTTATAGTTTCAAGTCTTAGATTTAAGTCTTTGATCCATCTCGAGTTGATTTTTGTATAAGGTGAGAGATGAGGATCCAGTTTCATTTTTCTACATGTGGCTTGACAATTATCCCAGCACCATTTGTTGAATATGGTGTTCTTTCCCCACTTCGTCTTTGTTTGTTCTGTCGAAGATCCGTTGGCTGTAAGTATTTGGCTTTATTTCTGGGTTCTCTATTCTGTTCCATTGGTCTATGTGTTTATTTTTATACCAATACCATACTGTTTTGGTGACTATGGCCTTATAGTATAGTTTGAAGTCAGGTAATATGATCCCTTCAGATTTATTCTTTTTGTTTAGTCTTGCTTTGGCTATGTGGGCTCTTTTTTGGTTCCATATGAATTTTAGGATTTTTTTTCTAGTTCTCTAAAGAATGATGGGAATTGCATTGAATTTGTAGATTGCTTTTGAGAATATGGTCATTTGTTTGTGTTGTCTAGGATTTCTTTCAGCAGTGTTTTGTAGTTTTTCCTTGTAGAGATCTTTCAAGTCCTTGATTAAGTATATTCCTACCTTTGTTTGTTTGTTTGTTTGTTTGTTTGTTTTGGCAGCTATTGTGAAAGGAGTTGAGTTCTTGATTTGATGTAGAGCAGCACTACTGATTTGTGTATGTTAAGTTTGTATCCTGAAACTTTGCTGAATTCATTTACGAGTTCTAGGAGCTTTTTGAATAAGTCTTTAGTGCTTTCTAGGTATATGATCATATCATCAGCAAACAGCAACAGTTTGATTTCCTCTTTACTGATTTGGATGCCCTTTATTTCTTTTCCTTGTCTGATTGCTCTGGCTAGGACTTCCAGTACTATGTTGAATAGACGTGGTGAGATTGGGCATCCTTGTCTTGTTCCAGTTCTCGGGGAATGCTTTCAAAACCCGTTCGGTATAATGTTGGCTGTGGGTTTGTCATAGATAGCTTTTATTACCTTAAATTATGTTCCCTTTTATGCCAGTTTTGCTGAGGGTTTTAATCATAAAAGGATACTGGATTTTGTCAAGTGCTTCTTCTGCATCTATTGAGATGATCATGTGATTGATTGTTGTTTTTAATTCTGTTTATGTGGTGTATCACATTTATTGACTTGCATATGTTAAACCATCCCTGCATATCTGGTATGAAACCCACTAGATCATGGTGGATTATCTTTTTGATATGCTCTTGGATTTGGTTTGCTAGTATTTTGTTGAGGATTTTTTCATCTATGTTCATCAGGGATATTGGTCTGTAGTTTTCTCTTTTTTTTTATGTCCTTCTCTGGTTTTGGTATTAGGGTGATACTGGCTTCATAGAATGATTTAGGGAGGATTCCTTCTTCTGTATCTTTTGGAATAATGTCAATAGGATTGGTACCAATTCTTCTTTGAATGTTGGATAGTTCAGCTGTGAATTCATTTGATCCTGAACTTTTTTTGTTGTTGGCAATTTTTAAATTACCATTTCAATCTTGCTGCTTGTTATTGGTCTGTTCAGAGATTCTATACCTTCCTGGTTTAATCTAAGGGGATTGTATATTTCCATGAATTTATCCATCTCCTGTAGATTTTCTAGTTTATATGGGTAAATGTGTTCAGAGTAGACTTGAATAATGTTTTCTATTTCTGTGGTATCAGTTGTAATAACTCCTGTTTCATTTCTAATTGAGCTTATTTGGATCTTCTCTCTTCTTTCCTTGGTTAATCTTGCTAATGGTCTATCAATTTTATTTATCTTTTCAAATAATCAGCTTTTTGTTTCATTTATCTTTTGTATTTT